GAGAGAGGTGCGCCGGGGAGCTGCGCGGGAGCGTGCAGGAGCTCCTGCGCGGGGAGCTTGCGGGAGTGCGAGGTGTCGAGCGAATACCCTTACAAGGGTATCCGTCCTGGTCTTCGCAAACGACAGGAAACAGTTTCGTGTAAAGTTTAAAGTATGCCGTACTAGGCACGGCCGCGTCTGTAATTTACATTGACTAGGTGGTTGACTAGAGTAAAGAGTGCGTGGGCATGCAAGTTTGAGGCGCGCGTGATTTCTTCCTTTGTTTGGTTACACTGGCAGACGTGGCGTGGATTTTGGTCAGCATATGTCATTTTTGTTTTGATTGAACTGATTAGCCTATGAGTACCCTGTTCATTGGTTCCGCGTGGTACGATGGACGGCTTAGTGAGCCGGTACGGACTTGCGCAGAAATCCAGATGATGGGACCTGATGGATTTGGCTAAGGACGGGTAGCCGCGGCACTATAGGGTAGGACGACGTGAGTTTGGGTGGTCCCTTGTGCAAGTGTGGGTCGGGAAGTGGCATGGGGCGTTTTCTTGGACCCGAAAGCCGTGCGCTATCTATTTATTAAGAGATTTGAGCCCATTGGTACCAGGATTGGGCTTAGCCCTATTGGTTATGGTATTGGACTTATGAGGTAAAAGTACAGGGATTGAGGTCAGCAAGCGGCAGTATGGGAGCAGCGGAGCATCAAAAGAACTGAGGGGTTGAGGGTCCTGTGGGACTATCCCCACTGTGTTTTGCTGGGGGAGTCCGATCGCGGGCCCACGTTACAGCGCCAAGGGAAAGAAGAGGTGAGTCCCGCGCCCCGGCCCCCTTAGCTTTCTCATTTTTCCTTTTGGGGTAGGTCTTACAATTTTTAATATTTGTCTCCTTTCGTTCTCACGCTTTCCGACCAGGCCGAATGCAGGATTAAGGACCGGCCGCGAACCCAAGAGAGCCCAGCGCAGTGGACTCAGTTCCCGCATGAGCGGGACGCAGGCAGAATTGCCTTACCTGGCTTGTCTTGGGATAGATATAGTCCGAGGAGGTAAGTCCGTTTGCATATAGGGGAGAGGCGTCGGCCGGAGAACAACAGCGATACAGGCTACACACCATCTCTTCCACGGGACCGCCCCCGTCTCAGCCCCAAAAGTTCGCAGTCGGACGCTTGCAAATTTTCATCAGGATAGCATCGGGGCCGCATCACCTAGGCCCACGTTACAGCTTGAGCAGGCCAGGCACGTTCCCCTACTAGTAGCCGCGCTTGGGCAAGGGCGAAGGACCAATCGAACCACCGGGCAACTGGTTCCTCAGAACCTCTCCCTCGGGATAGCGGAGGGTGCAGACCCACTAGT